TATCATAATTGGAACTCAATTGCAGAGACAGAAGGCTCGCACAGCCAACTGTTCTGTAGAATGCAAATTGTGCATGGGAAATACTTCCCCTGGGAGAAAATGGAGTGGCTGTTGTGAGAGAGGTTATTTTTACAAGAACACACCAAATGTCTCCCGTGCTTTAGTGTTTTATCGAAAATCTCAATGAAAGAGAACCCTTTGTGAGAGATCAATACACACACGCACAGGCACACGCGCACACGCGAGAGTAAGAGCAAGAGAGCGATGCTATGTTTTAGGGCGCGTGATGGAAACCTAACAGAATTTGCCTACATCAATTGTGAAATGTCAAAAACAAACAGCCCAATAGTTTGCTTATGCATCCTTCATACTGGCACGTGATTTTCTCTTTGACAGCCACTCACCTTCACTTCTTCCCCAGCAGGATTCATCTAAGGTGATAAAACTCATCTTTCAGGTAGCGTATCCATTAGCCATTCCTGTGTCATAAGCTACTGCCAGATTCAGTGGTTTATTCTTGCTCGTCTGTCTAAAGGTTGGTGGGGTGGCTCTGCTGATCTCGGCTGGGCTCAGCCCAGCTTGGCTGCAGGCTGTAGGTTGGTTGGGTCTGGCCCTGTTCCTTGGACCTGTGACACGTTCTCATAGTGAGTGGCAAAAGGTAAGTGGACAAACCCACCTCCATAAACGTATTTCAAGCCCCTTATGCAGCTCTCACCATAACATCTTATTGGCCAAAGCAAGTCATGTGGCCCAGTCCAAACCAAGGGTTGGAGACTCCAATGCTACAATCTGAATGTGCCTCCCCGCCCCCCCATTCATATGTTGAAACCTAACCCCTAAGGTGATGGTATAAGGAGGTGGAGCTTTGGGGAGGTGATTAGGTCATGAGGGGTCCGCCCTCCCAATTGGGACTGGTGTACTTTTAAAGGAGGCGCCAGAGAGATTCCTCGCCTGTTTCCACCGTGGGAGGACGCAGTGGGAAGATGGCGGTCCGCAACAGCTTCCAGCAGCACCTGGCCATGCTGGCACCCTGGTCTTGGATTTCCAGCCTCCGGAACTGTGAGAAATACATTCCTATTGTTTATGAGCTGCTGGGTCTCCGGTATTTCATCACAGAGCCCCAGTGGACTGAGAGAGGTATGTTCCACCGACCATAAGGCATGTCACGTGGTCAAGCCCAATGTCAAGGGTGGTGCCCTCCTCTCAGAGTTAGGGTGTAAAAGGCGTGCATATTTGTAGAACGAGGGTCTTTTCTACTATCAGTAGGAAAAGTGAGGCATAGCATTTTGTACAAGTCACGGTGCTCGTGTGTGAAGGATTTTCTTATCCCGAGAGAAGGAGGACATAAGCACTGAGTACCTATAGTACTCCAAGATTCTACTGAGTTTTCTCCCATGTTATTTCATTGAACCTTTTAACACCACTAGAACCCATTTCACATACAAGGTGACAGGCCAAGGAGCTAGGATGTGGACAGTCTAGGAGTGGAGCCTAGTTTTTTCTGGCAGCCTTCACTTGCCTTGACTATTGGGTCACATTTTTGGTGGTGGTGTGGCAAATCAAGCACTGACTTCTTAGGGGGAAATATTTTTATTACACTGTTCTAATACCCCAGAAGAAAGAAGCGCCATACTTTTTCTGTGAGCATAGCTGCCCATCACTCTTGATATTCAAATTGTTGGCTCAAATGGATTCTCTTGAAAACCTGCACTGATGATGCCGATTGGTTGCTCAACACAGGCTTTGGGGACTTCTACGGGTTAGAGAGGCGGACTGTTCCCGTCACTTGAGTGTGACTGGCCTCTCTTGACTGTCTTGCTATTCCTATCCTGCAGGGCTGGGGCCGTGGGGAGGAAGGATGGAGAAATCAGGAACTCCAGCCAGGAAACGCTGCCTGAAGAGAATTTCAGGTGGGTCGATGATGTTGTTCTCCCCCATCTGAAATGCCCTGTTGACCTAAATGTTAGCTTGTTTGTCACCAATGCTTAGCAAACACCGATGTGCCAGGCACATTCACGGGAGTGTGGAGAAAGGTAGACCGAGCGCTAGTGATGACCGGGTGAATCCTATGGATCTGTGTCTTAATAGGTGATTCTGGTGCCACTCAAGTTGGAGTATTACTGTGTTAGGCCACCAGATAGAGAAGGCTGGTGGCTTCTATTAGAGTTACTATTCACTCATTCATTTCAGGTTAGAGGAAGGTTCCTACTCTTCTTCAGGGATGGCAGGGGCCAGGGTCTGGGGAGGCCAGCCTCAGAGAAGCAACAGTTGCCACCGATCCCGTGCAAGACTCTGGGAGAGTCACGGTCCTGCTTCCTGCTTGGCTATGCAGTCCCTGCAGGGATGGACAGGGACCTCCCCGGTGATGTCCAGGCTTACCTGCAGGGTCTAAGGTTTCTCAGCCTGGGCACTATGGACATTTGGCACTGGATAATTCTTGGTTGTGGGTGGTTATGCATTTACCAGCATCCCCGGCCACTCTCCACTGTATGCCAGGAGGAGCACCCGCCCCCCCCCCCCCAACCCACTCTGCCCCGCCAAGTTATGACAATCAAAAAGGTCTCCTGAGGGATTAAATCACACCACTCCCCTCCCGTCTCCTGCTTTGAGACTGCTGGGCTTATGCTGGGAAATTCCCTTCTCAGGATAACGAGCAATGGAAAAGCCAGTGGTGTAACTGCAAGGAACGTGGGGTGTGAGGCTAGCAGCCTTGAATCTCGGCCCCTCCGATGACCAGCCACGGACTTCTTTCCCTGCCTCCTCTCCACTCCCAGTCTTCCCCAACCCCCAAAAACCACACCCCCACACACATTATTTTCATAAATGACTTTTACTTCTTTATCATTTCTCTTGACAGTAATTCTTGGCGATGTGCATATAACATGAAGGCAAGCATAACTTTCAGAAGTCATCAAAGATATGGTCTTATTGTCCTCGTTTTCTTAAACCATTAAAATATTTTCATTTATAAAAATTAATCTGAATATAAATATTGACACTGAAGATCAAAATCACTTGATGACAAAATAATTCTTCCGAAACTATAACATATGCTTATGGTTTTTAATAGTAAATTAAATCTTTGCACTTATTTGGCACAAGGAAACCTTTATAAAATTTCAAATGCCGTAGAGCAGGCTTCTTCTTTTTCTTCTTTTTGTTTTTTTGTTTGTTTGTTTTTGTTTTTTGCAAGGCTTACACAGTACACATTTTTGTCAAAGAAAACTGAATATTAACACTGGAACACACCAATAGTTGCTTTTCATGCCTCTTAAAGGAAACATTCGATTTGGAACTCAGATCTTTTGTTGTTGTTGTTGTGTTTTTAAAATTTGTATTTGTCTGCTTTGAGTCATACCAACAGAACAAAAAGCCAAGATTTACTGTGTTTCAAAGAAGTCACTTCTGTTGGATAGCACATACACAGGATCAGCAAAGGGTGTCACCGTAAGATAGGTAGATCGCATCAGGAATGGATCGGAACACACATTTCAGCAGCAAATCAGGTCTGGCAATGTGTGTAGCAGCAAAAGAAGGTAGGAGTTGAAACCAACGCAGGGTGAGGCTTTGGGGAGGCATTCCGATGACACTTGGCTTAGAGGTGTGACTTTGGCAAACTAATCTCTCTGGCCCCCTCGGTTCCCAAATCTGAAAAGTGGGGATACCTACTGAAGAGGGTTGCTCCAAGGATGAAAATGAGAAGAAACTGCCTTCCTCAAAGCAGTCACTTAAAACATTTCGGTCAAACTATCCCCTTGCCCCCCATCGTTTGCTTTCTTCCTAAGATTCAGAATGTCTCAGGGACAAATTTTAACAAAGGCTGTAAATGCTCAGTTCATTGAGCGGAATTCTGTTCCACTGGCTTTTACAAGCACACTCTACACGGTCATGCCTTCGAGACCGCAAACGTGGAGCACGTGTCGGCTCGTGTGTCTGTTAAACTCACAGTTTGTCCTTGCTTTTTTCATGCCTGTGAGCTTTCCAAGGCTATTCTTTAACCATTTTTTTCCTTTAAGGTCATCCTACTACTTTTGCCGAATTATCTACTGGGAAATAAATTCTGGAGGACATTTTCTCATGTGGTTAGCATCCATTTAGACGCGGCCATCACTAAGCTGCATCACGTGGATTCCAGACAGCGCCCCAAAGTTAAGCCAATGGTGAGCTTTCTCAAGCTCCTCTCCCCTTCACACTGGGGAAACTGTCAGTGAGTCCAAGGAGAAACCCTAAATTCTCCATGAGACCTCGATTCAGAAAGACCTGGGCCTGGCGTGGGTGAGTCAGAACTTTCCATTCCGTGGTGTGTGATTGCAAAGCGATGGAAATGACTGGGCCACTGGTTATGGTCGTGTGGTGTGGGGAGAGGGGTAGCTAGGAGCTTCCCAGGAAGGAGGCGGCTGAAGGGAGACCTGCATCCTTGCTGGGTGCGCGCTCCCCAGATGGGACGGTCCGGATGTTCACTGCGGGGACATCTGCACATTTTTCCTTAGCATTTGTGGGACAAACGTGGTTTTGAGAGATTAGTAAGAACTGGTGATGAATTCAATGGTAATCTCCATCTCCCTTCTTTCCACCTCCCCCCCCCCCCCCAGCCCCCAGCTCCCAACAGTTCTCCTTTGGACAAATAACTATTGACATATACTTTCAGTTGAATCAAAGGGATTAAAAAAAAGATCTTAAAGACAACACACAGTAGCAAAGCGAACACGGAAAAGATGCGTCTTTTGAACAGGGAGCTCTGTTGTTGGAAGCCAGCGTCTCGGTTTTCTGTCTTGGATTCCCCTGGGAGCCTAAGGCAGCGAGTGGGCAAGACCGCAGTGCTCAAGTCTGGGGCTGCTTTCTGGGTGAGGTATCAGGGCAGCCCTGTGCGGTGGTGCACCATGGCCCCCCCAGGCCCCCTCCTCGGGTGGAAATCGGTACAGTATTGGATGGGTGTTGGGTCAAGGCACTGTCGTGTACGGCCGGAGGCAGTGGGTCACTGGCAGTGGAGCTCCGTGGCACTAATACATCACAGCAGACGCCAGACTGGGCTCCTGCGGCGAGACAATGAGCACATGGTCATCAGCCACTTGGCAAGAGCAAGAAAAGGCAATTAAAAATGTCTCCTGCTTTTTTTCTTTTTTTTCTTTTTAAATAGGCTTCACACCCAACATGGAGCCCAATGCAGGGCTTGAACTCAAGACCCTGAGATCAAGACCTGAGCTGAGATCAAGAGCTGGATGCTTAGCCGACTGAGCCACCCAGGTGCCCCTGTTTTCTATATCATAAAAAATGTTTGTGCTCGTTGACTGGGAATATTTAATTATTTAAAAAATGATACTTTACAAAAAGTTTATTTTGGAGAGAAAGAGGGGTGCACCTGCACGCACATGAGCAGGTGAGGAGCAGAGAGAGAGAGGGAGAGAAGGAGAATGCTAAGCAGGCTCGAAGCCACAAACTATGAGATCATGACCTGAACCAAAACTGAGTCAGACGCTCAACCGACTGAGCCACTCAGGCACCCCAAAAGTGATGCATTTTTTACTTGTACTTTTTTAAAAAGTGTTTATTTATTTTTGAGAGAGAGAGAGAGAGAGAGAGCACAAGCAGGGGAGGGGCACAGAGACAGACAGAGGGTCCGAAGCAGGCTCCCAGCTGGCAGCAGAGAGCCCGAAGTGGGGCTTGAACTCACAAACTCATGAGATCATGACCTGAGCCTAAGTCGGATGCCCCAGCTACTGAGCCACCCAGGTGCCCCTACCTGTACTTTTTAATCTGTCTGAAATTTATTTGGCGTGTGGAATACAGCAGTTATTTAATTTGATTCCCTTCCCATTACCACCCCCATGGCCAATTTCCTATGTTCAGAGTCTCTTGTGGTTTGCTTCCCTCTCTTCTCTTCCCACCCCCACTTCCTTAAGTTCATTCGTTTTGTTTCTTAAATTCCACGTATGAGTGAAATCATACAGTATTTGTCTTTCTCTGATTGACTTGTTTCGCTTAGCAGAATACATTCTAGCTCCATCCACATTGTTGCAAATGGCGAGATTTCATTCTTTTCGATGGCTGAGTAATCTCCCATTGTGTATATAAACCACATCTTCTTTATCCATTCATCAGTTGATGACATTTGGGCTCTTCCCCTAGTTTGGCTATTGTTGGTATGAGGAACCTCCATACTATTCTCCAGAGTGGCTGCACCAGTTTGCATTCCCACCAACAGTGCAAGAGGGTTCCCCTTTCTCCACATCCTTGCCAACACCTGTTGTTTCTTGTGTTGTTCATGTGAGCCATTCTGACAGGTGTGAGGTGGTATCTCATCATGGTTTTGATTTGTATTTCCCTGATGATGAGTAGTGTTGAGCATCTTTTCATGTGCCTGTTGGCCATCTGGATGTCTTCTTTGGAGAAGTGTCTCTTCGTGTCTTCTGCCCATTTCTTCACTGGCTTATTTGTTTTTTGGGTGTTGAGTTTGATAAGTTCTTTATAGATTTTGGATACTAACCTTTTATCAGATCTGTCATTTGCAACTCTCTTCTGCCATTCCATAGACTGCCTTTTAGTTTTGTTGTGCAGAAGTTTTTATTTTTATAAAGTCTCAGTAGCTCATGTTCGCTTTGGTTTCCTTTGCCTTCGGCAATGTGTCTAGTAAGAAGTTGCTGCAGCCGAGGTCAAAGAGGTGGCTGCCTCTCTCCTCCTCTAGGATTTTGATGGTTTCTTGTCTCACACTTAGGTCTTTCATCCATTTTGGATTTATTTTTGTGTATGGTGTAAGAAAGTGGTCCTGTTTCATTCTTCTGCATGTTGTTGCCCAGTCTTCCCAACACCATTTGTTGAAGAGACTGTCCCTTTTTTCTATTGGATATTCTTTCCTGCTTTGTTGAAGATTCGTTGGCCATATAGTCGTGGGTCCACTTTTGGGTTTTTGATTCCATTCCACTGCTCTATGTGTCTGTTTTTGTGCTTGTACCGTATTGTCTTGATGATTACAGCTTTGTAATATGGCTTGAAATCCACAATTGTGATGCCTCCAGTTTTGTTTTTCTTTTTCAGGATTGCTTTGGCTATTTGGGGTCTTTGGTGGTTCCATACAAATTTTAAGATTGTTTGTTCTAGCTCTGTGAAAAATGCTGGTGTTATTTTGATAGGGATTGCATTAAATGTGTAGATTGCTTTGGGTAGTATAGATGTTGATTTATTTATTTTTAAAAGAACATTTATTTGTTTATTATTTATTTATTTTTGAGAGGGGGGAGGTGCAGAGGGGGGGAGACAGAAAAGCAGGATCCCCACTAACAGCCTCATGCGAGGCCCGAACTCATGAACTGTGATATCATAACCTGAACCAACGTCGAACACTTCACCAACTGAGCCTCTCAGGCAGCCGGGGGAGTACAGACGTTCGAACAATGTTTGTCCTTCCAATCCACAAGCATGGAAAGCTTTTCCATTTCTTTGTTGCCCTCTTCAATTTCTTTCGTAAGTGTCTTGTAGTTTTCAGCGTACAGATCCTTTACCTCTGCAGTTAGGTTTATTCCTGGGTATCTTATTGTTTTCGGTGCAATTGCAAAAGGTAGTTCCTAATACTTTAAAACAAATCAAAAACACATTCTCAGATATGCCTGTACCTCTTCTGAGCCTTCTTTTCCACTGACCATTTTTTATAGCTTTTAATTTGTTTCAAAATCTAGCAGGAGGGGCGCCTGGGTGGCTCAGTCGGTTGAGCGTCCGACTTCGGCTCAGGTCATGATCTCATGGTTCGTCAGTTCAAGCCCCGCGTCAGACTCTGTGCTGACAGCTCAGGGCCTGGAGCCTGCTTTGGATTCGGTCTCTGTCTCTCTCTCTGATCCTCCCTTGCTCACATTCTGTCTCTCTCTCAAAAATAAATAAAGATTTAAAAAAATCTAGCAGGAAAATCACTTTAATTTTGCAAAATGCTTTTGTCTATTCTTTCTGAGTCATTCTTTCAGGAACTTTAGTTCGAAAGAAAGTCCCACTGAGAGCTTTATGAGAATTGGATTAAACTACAGATTAATTTGGGAAGAAATGACTTTTCTTGTTGAACTACTGATGTAACTGAGTAATCAATACCTCAGTATTAAAGGTATCCTTGCATTTCTGTAAAGGTTAGTGCTGCAGTTAACTCGCTGATGCATTATGTAGTGAGCTGCGTGTGTGTACATGTGAAGAAGGATAGCTGTTGTGTGGGGCGTGTGTGCACGCGTGTGTGTGAGCAGGCACGAAACACGTGCGCACACGTACGTGTAGCTTCACAACACGAATCTTTCAGTTTTCAAGTTTTTTAAGTGTTCCGGAGTACTTTATATTGCCTGGAATTAATTTCTGCTTAAAAAATCTATCCCTGAGGGGCGTCTGGGTGGCTCAGCTGGTTAAACCTCCCGCTCTTGATCTTGGCTCAAGTCATGACCTCACTTTGGTTCATGGGATTGAGCCCTGAGTCCAGTTCTGTGCTGACAGCATGGAGCCTACTTGGGATTCTCTCTCTCCCCTTCCCTCTGCTCCTCCCTTGCTTGTGATCTCTCAAAATTAATAAACTTAAAAAAAATTTATCAGCAAAACTATTTGTCCAGTCTTTTTTTTTTTTTTAAATATGTTTATTTATTTTGAGAGACAGAGAGAGAGTGAGCAAGGGAGGGGCAGAGAGAGAGGGAGAGAGAGAATTCTAAGCTCTCTTGGAATGCAGGGCTTGATCCCATGAACTGTGAGATTATGACCTGAGCCAAAATCAAGAGTCAGATGCTCAACTGACTGAGCCACCCAGGTGGCCCCAGACAATCTTTTCTTTAAGTTTTACTCAGTTTTAAGTCAGTTCTTACTAATATTCTGATGTAATTCTTATTTTATTAGAATTAAGCCTCTAAAATTCATTACTATATATTTACATCGCATGGTATGTTTAAATTAAAAATTTACATCTGTTAGAGTCTCTTATTTTTATTTATTTATTTATTTTCTTGATCTGGCTTACAAAACACTCTGCTTTTTATTTTTTTGAAGAATAAGCTCTTGAACTTATGATCATTTCTATAGTTTTCTGGCTTGCATTCATTGGTTTCTGCCTTTATCTCTGATGTCTGGAATGCATCGTGTATGTGGGTGTACGTGCTTTCTAACTTCCAAGTAGAGTTTCTGTGTATTTTAAGTTTTGTTCCAATTTGCTAGGTTTGCTCTGTCACTTCTGGTAGTCTAGGCACATGTGGCTCTTTAGATTAATTAAAATGAGTGAAATTTAAAAAATCAGTTCCTTCAAGGCAGTAGCCACATTTCAAGGGCCCAACAGCCCCATGTGGCTGGCGGCTGCCATATTGTGCACCACACAGAGAACATATCCATAATTTTGGAGAGCTCTGCATGACAGCGCGGCTGGAGAGTCTCTCTTTTTGAAACTTGTTTTTAATGTTTATTTATTTTTGAGAGAGAGAGAGAGAGACAGAGAGACAGCATGAGCAGGGGAGGGGCAGAGAGAGAGGGAGACACAGAATCCGAAGCAGGCTCCAGGCTCTGAGCCATCAGCCCAGAGCCCGACGCGGGGCTCAAACTCATGGACCGTGAGATCGTGACCCGAGCTGAAGTAGGACGCTTCACTGACTGAGCCATCTGGACGCCCCCTGTTGAAGATTATTTCTGGCACTGGAGTCACAGAAGTTTGTTCTATGCTTCCCACTTTTTGTCGCTTTTTGTAACCTCAATAGGTTTTCTTTGTAGCTGGTGAAAAATCAACTTTTATAAAGGGTCCACTGATGCTTGGAAACAAAGTGAATCTTCCATGAAGTGTAAAGTAAGAGAAATGCCTTAACTAAAGCTTATTAATTATACTATTCCCATGCTCTCATTTGTACTTAATTTTTAAAAAAAATGTTTATTTTTGAGAGACAGAGAGAGAGCACACACATGTGAACAAACAGAGGAGGGGCACAGAGAAAGGGAGACAGAGGATGCAAAGCAGGCTCTGAGCTGTCAGCACAGAGCCTGACACGGGGCTTGAACTCACAAACCGTGAGATCATGACCTGAACTGAAGTTGGCCGCTTCACCAACTGAGCCACCCAGGCTCCTCGTAATTTGTATTTATTTTTGGCATATTTGGGCTTCCCAGGGTTGCTAAGGGAATTTTAAAGTCACCAACCATGGCACAATAAATTGTATCACTTTTGCATGCTGAATCAAGAAAGGCTCAGGAATTACCTATTTATTTTTTAAAGTTTACTTGTTTATTTTGAGAGAGACAGAGACAGTACAAGTGGGAGAGGGACAGAGAGAGGGAGAGAGAGAATGCCAAGCAGGCTCCACACTGTCAGCACAGAACCCGATGTGGGGCTCAAACTCACGAACCATGAGATCATGACCTGAGCTGAAACCAAGAGTCAGATGCTTAACTGACTGAGCCACCCAGGCACCCCGATTTTTTAAAATCAAAATTAAAACATCCTCCTTCCCCATTTTCTCCAAATGTTTTTCTCTTGGATTCTACTTTGTTTGAAAGTGATATTGCTGTTTTTTGTTTGCATTTGTTTAGGAAATATTGCCCATTCTTTCATTTTTAACCTCGCTGTATTATCTAAAGGTAACTTATTCTTCAAAATAATCTGAGGTGAACTTAGGTGATGTAACATTAACCATTTTATTATTTTATTTTATTTTATTATTTTATTATGTTGAGGGAGAGATAGACCATGAGCAGGGGAGAAGGGCAAAGAGGAAGGGAGAGAGAGAGAGAGAGAGAGAGAGAGAGAGAGAGAATCTTAAGCAGGCTCCACTCTCAGTGTGGGGCCTGATCTCACTACCCTGAGATCATGACCTGAGCCGACATTAAGAGTTGGACTCTCGGGGCGCCTGGGTGGCTCAGTCGGTTGAGTGACCGACTTCGGCTCAGGTCATGATCTCACGGGTTGTGAGTTCGAGCCCCGTGTCGGGCTCTGTGCTGACAGCTCAGAGCCTGGAGCCTGCTTCCGATTCTGTGTCTCCCTCTCTCTCTGCCCCAACCCCACTCATGCGCTGTCTCTCTCTGTCTCAAAAATAAATAAAACATTAAAAAAAAAAAAAGTTGGACTCTCAACAGACTGAGCCACGCACATGCCCCAACATTAACCATTTTAAAGTGAACAGTTCAGTGGCATTTAGTACATTCACCATGTTGTGCAGCCATTGTTTGAAAACCTCCTGTCCCTCTAAAGTAAAACCTCCTATCCACCGAGTGGCTTCTTCCGATGGCCCCTCCCTAGAGCCCTTGGCACCCCCTGATCTGTGTTCTATCTCTATGAAAGGTAATTTATTTGTAACTCTCTTATTTATAACAGATTCCTTCCCTGACCCTAATGGTCTGCCCTTTTAAGTGCGTAATGCATCTTTTTCACTCTTTGAAGTAACGCTCTGACGACCAGGAGCAAAGTAACTGGACTTTAAAAGGTCGAGGGTAACGGCTGAGCAGTGAAGAAAAGCTAGCGGGCAGCGCTGTTGCCATGGGGTGCCGAAGAGACGCAGTAATCCGGAACCCCAAAGGGCACGCCCCCCATTACATCATTACCTGGTGCTCTGCACTCAGAGCACAGGGACGGTGGGGGGGAGGAAGGGGAAGGGAGGGAGGGGCGAGGCATAAAAGACAACAGAATAAACTGGCCCTTGTTCTAATCCTGTCACTCAGACATCATCTGCCCTCAGCATATTGGTACCACTGAGGCAGGTTAGCTGGATTATCACTTCCCATATCAACAGCACCAAGCCTCTGCCCAAATCTGAAGCATGTGTTGGTGTTCAGGCAAACAGTCCGTTAGCCCTCTTTACGCGATCGCCTCTTTACGTGCCAATGATGTCCTGTCCCTCCCTTTGCATTTAGGGGCAGCTGCTGGCTTTTCTCAGGAGCACAACAAGTAATTCAGGGCTAATAAGAGATTTAAGGAAGAGTGAATTTGGATCAAAAACAGGAGAAAGACTCTGGCACCTCAACCAGACCTTAACGTTCCCATGTACGTATTTTTACTTCTCTCGGATCAAACCCCACAAGGAGCTGGATGTACGGTTGAGAGGACGTATCCACGTATCAAAGAGGTGAGCGGTCCCGGGCACGGTGCTCATCACTTCTCACTGCACCCCCGCCCCCGCCCGTCTCCCCAGCCAACGGACCATGAAACCATCCACGGAGGATGCTTCCCGGGGCTCTGACGGGGGAGCTGCAGACGGAAGGGCTACAGACTGGAGGCACCATCGGCAGTGGAAGCGATGGGCACTGAGAAAGGGCTGACTTACCATCAAATCCTTGGTGGCGCTTTTCCTTTCATTAGTCCTGTTTGTCAAGGAGCCTTGGAGAAGGAAGTTGCGGTTAAATGTTTTAATGGTGGTCACTGAAGATGCCTCAATGTTTTCGGCTAAAAGGAAACACATGGAAGTAAGTGGTACCCAGGAGCGGGGCCGAGTGTTGAGGAAGAAAGACCAGGTGTCCCCATCACCCAGATTTTTGCTCTAGACTTGGCATCTCATTGCAGTCCACAGGTCTGACTGTAGAATCTCTAAATTTTGCGTCTATGTTTATGATATGCACCAAATGAACTCAAGAATTGTTAGCGGCTTTCCAGGAAAAGGTAGCTTGGAGATAATTGACCATAGTTCACAAATCCTTATTTGCAATTCTGGACTATAAAAGGCTCTAAAGACAAAATCTTTATAACTTTGGGGCCAAAACTGTCTGATGGGAAACCCTGACTTAACTGACATGTGGCCATTTAAAATCCTGGTCCATCCCACCCAGTGTGAACATTCTCGAGCTTTGCTGAGAGGATTTAATGTGTTTATCAGAGGCTTCCCCAGACACCAGAGGGAGGGGACTGTTATGAAATATACAGTACATGTACCGTCTTAGCTTTCTGATGTCCAACATGTCCTAAAACATATATTTATCCAAGGGTTTCAGATAAGGGACCGTGGATCTGTAATAAATTGTAATTGTATAGGGTCTCATGGAATATCAAGTAGGCATTCAATAAATGTTGAAGAAAAGATCGGCGGAACCAAGACTCAAACATCTATCTTCTGTCTGTCTGTTCTTCTACTTTGTAGATCTAAATTTCTGGTTTGGCATCATCGTAAGTGGCTCCTAAATCCAGGGAAAGTGTTCAAAATGCCCAGTGGATGAGGATGCCACCCCGGCATTGCTGGACTCCCTTCTGGGCGGGGCGCTGTGTTAGATGCCTTCGGTGTCCTGCCCACGTTTCCCTGACATCACCACACATTCTGTCATTCGGCACATTCCGGAAGCATGTGACCACAAGCACCGTCACTCCCTTGGCTCATGCACGGGGTGGGGCAGAAGCACCAGGGGATTAATGCCTCCCCACCCCCACCGGAAACTTCAGGGGCTGAGGGCTGACAGCTGATATCCTCATCTTCCTGTTCATTGGGCAGAAAACTCTGAGGTGCAGTCAATACTGTCTCTCAGGAAGTCCCCAGCAGGATTCAGCCTCATTTGCCCAGAGAAGTAAGCTATGAACTAAATCGCACTGTACCGGGGTGCCTGGGTGGCTCAGTCTGACTCCCGATTTCAGCTCCGGTCATGATCTCGCGGTTCATGAGTTCGAGCCCTGCATCGGGCTCTGTGCTGACAGTGCGGAGCCTGCTTGGGGATTCTCTCTCCTCTCTCTCTCTCTGCCCTTCCCCCGCTTGCACACACACACACTCTCTCTAAATTAATAAATAAACATTAAAAAAAAGACATTGGACTGTACTGATTTAATTTCCTTCCCTGAATCATTTCTCTCTTTTCCTACCACGATTTCTTGCAATCACGTTCCAAATCACATCCTTGTCCATGGATCTGCCTCTTGGGGGGATTCAAGTCAAGACAGATTCTCCACAAGAGCACTTCCAGGTAAGAACTCCCCGTTAGGTCTGGTTCTCAAACTCAGATCACCAAGTCACTCAAAGTCAGGCTTAATTCTTTGATAGCTCTGCTACTGTTTTCCTTTAAGCACACCTTTCACTGGTGGGGCAGGCAGTTTCCTCCTCTGCTGCCTTGATGTGTCTATGGTTTGTACCTACAAACAGAACACAGCAATCAATACGCCTTTGCAAAGCCAAAGATACATTATCTTCCAAATTTTCCAGGTGGTGCAATATTCCAACAGAGGGAGTGAGGGACAAACGCACCTGGTTCCTTTGCTTCTGATCGCGTCTTCTTGTGAGGCGGACACACGGTGCTATGTTTAACCCTGCAATGGTCAGGGCTGAAATCCGGCTCTCAATATCAGAAATCTTAATGCAACAGAAAGACAGAATTGGTAGGCGAAAAAGCACAGGAGGGGAGAATCTTTGTTAAAAGTGTCAGGAACCTCGGGGCATCTGGGTGGCTCGGTCAGTTAAGCGTTGGACTTCGGCTCAGGTCTCGATCTCACAGTCTGTGGGTTTGAGCCCCGCGTCGGGCTCTGTGCTGACAGCTCAGAGCCTGGAGCCTGCTTCCTTTTCTGTGTCTCCCTCTCTCTCTGCCCCTCCCATTCGCCCTCTGTCTCTCTCTCAAAAATAATAAAAAAATTTAAAAAAGTGTTAGGAATCTATAAAGATTAAATCTGCCTTTATGTATACTCATTTACTCAACTTGCTTTTTTTTAAGATTTTATTTTATTTTATTTTTTTCAACGTTTTTTATTTATTTTTGGGACAGAGAGAGACAGAGCATGAACGGGGGAGGGGCAGAGAGAGAGGGAGACACAGAATCGGAAACAGGCTCCAGGCTCCGAGCCATCAGCCCAGAGCCCGACGCGGGGCTCGAACTCACGGACCGTGAGATCGTGACCTGGTTGAAGTCGGACGCTTAACCGACTGCGCCACCCAGGCGCCCCAAGATTTTATTTTTTAAGTAACCTTTACACACAACGTGGGGCTCGAACTCACAACCCTGAGATCAAGAATCCCGTGCTCTACTGACTGAGCCAGCCAGGTGCCCCTCATTCATTCAACTTCTATGAGGCCCTTCTCCATCTAGTGCCATAGTAAAAAAACAGCATAGGTTTTTCTTTGTAAATTTATATGTCTAGCTTGGTAGATCCAGACTGTATCAACACCCTTGTCAGAGTATTTCTGGGGATAAATGGAAGCCTGGGGCATGATGGGAACCGTGGCCCAGGGCCTCCTGGCTCAGCCCGGGGGCGGAGGGTGTGAAAGGTGGTCAGGGAAGGCTTCTAGAGCAGGCAACACTTGATGTGAACTTTGAAAGGCAGGTATGATTTAGAGGCCCTTCCATCTCCCATGACTCCATGAACCAAAACCGCAGAGCACCGGCTCTTAGGAGGGAGGTCCAACAGCCCCTGGTTCAAGTCCGTTTCTTTCACTAAAAGGACAAGTGCCTTGAGAAACTCCCTCTTCTCCCTGGGCATCAGTTTCCTCGACTATAACATCAGAAGGTCAGAGAGAATTTTTTTCCCCAGCAGAGTCTTAAGGCAGATGCAGGGAGCAGGAGCCCACTCAGGGCCCAGAAAGAAGCCTGATCCATCAGGTCCCCAGGGTTGAAGAAGACAACAGTCCCTGCTCCCGGAAAAGAGCATTAGTATGTGCTGCCATCATGCGAGGCGCTTTAAATATGCGAAGTCGTTCACGCTTCGCTCACGGACTCATTCGTGAACCTGTGATGCAGGTACCGTGCTTTGAAAGATGGGGAGACCGTGGCTCCGAGGGTAGTACGGCCAACGTTTCACAGCTGGTCTGGGGCAGAGCTCCGGATTCATGCCAACGCTCAGGCTCTTGCCACACCGCCACGTTCTCAGAGGATGTGCCGTGGGGGACACAGGAAGAGGCGGGAGCGGGCCGGTGGAGGGGCGGCAGGAGGCAGGGGTCCCAGCCGTCTTGCTGCTCTCCCCACGCAGCCGGAGTGTTACTGGGGTGTCAGGCAGGAAACCTGAAAGGCGGCTGCAGCCAGTGTGCGTGGGCTCTGCCCTGAGGTCCCCCCTCCCTCCCCTATCCCTGCACTCTCTTGAGCTGCTCGCGACACATCTGTCCTTTAAGGGCAGACTACAGGGAGTGTGAGGCTTCCTGCTCTGACAGCGGCCCGCAGTTCGGTTCCCGGGTCGAGACAAGGTCCATAAAACCGAAGGCAGGGCTGATGCCCTCCTCTGCCAATGGAGGGCACTGATGCGAGTGTCTGCGGGTCTGAAGGCAGCACCGACACGTTTCTCAGGAAGCCACACGGCGCAGGCTGGTGAAGAACGTGGCCGTGAGGTCAGAGAGGTTAAAACCCTGGCTCCATCACCCGCTAGTTATTTGACCTTGGGCAAGTGGGGATAACCTTTCTGAGCCTCAGTCTCCCTAGAAATGAAAGGGGACACATCACAGAGCCCCTCGTGGAGTTGCTGGAAGGATTCATTACAATAATGAGGTCAAGCGCCAAGTACAACTTTTGGCACAAAGAAAGGCTCGCTGAACACTAGGTATTATTGATAACGTTACTGTAATGTTTAAAAACGCAGAAAAACCAGGCACATTCAAACCCAGAAAATGGTAGTTTGGACTCCAGGATTTTCTCCCATAAAACACCGCTCTTACAATTGAAGACCGGAGAAATCTAGAAGCGGGAATAACTAATTATCCAACATAACCCTCCCAGACACCCGCAAATAATATTACTTCTGGCTAAACCATTCAAGAAGTTATTTGCTGCAGAGTGTACCCCAGAAAAGAAAAGATTTGATCCCACTTTCTGTAGCTTTATGGCAAACGGATTAAAGGTTGGGTGGCACTTATGGGAAATGATTTGTATTTGGGGAGAGACGCTCTTCAGTCATTCTTGCTGATAATGAATAGTTGACGGGGCCGCGTCCAAGGAGACCACACCTATAGCACACAGTGTTAACGCACCCACAGGGTGGAGAATGGCACACTCACACTCTCAAGAGTGCTTCCCGCTGTCAGTGGCGGTTGTGATTTTTGACTAAGACAAAAATCCCGGTTGAAAAAATAGTTACCGTGCAAGACTGTCATCTTCTCTCTCCATAGGTGGTTTCTACTGACCCCAGTTTTCCTAGGATACTGTTTAGGGATATGCAAGGTGTCCGTCCGTGAACCAGGGGTTTATACTGAGCTTACACTGCACGTCTTAGCAGCACGTCTCAAGGACCCCACTTTGAGCATCAGCGACTTAGTCCACAATCAATTCTGATCCAGAGTCAGAGGCCACGGGGGTATCCGTGCAAGCTGCAAACAACTGTCTTCACAAGCTAATATCACAATGATACCATCTTACAGATAATATCATTTCAGTTCTGAAAAGGCCATATCTAAATCATCAAAATACTGGTCTGAGAAATCTTTTCTTTCCTTCTTTCTTTCTTTTTGTTTTTCTTCCTTTCTTTCTCTTTCTCTCTTTTCTTTCTTTCTTTCTTCTTTTTTGTTTTTCTTCCTTTCTTTCTCTTTCTCTCTTTTCTTTCTTTCTTTTTTGTTTTTCTTCCTTTCTCTTTCTCTTCTTTCTTTCTTTCTTCTTTTTTGTTTTTCTTCCTCTTTCTCTCTCTTCTTTCTTTCTTTCTTTTTTTTCTTCCTTTCTTTCTCTTTCTCTCTTTTCTTTCTTTCTTT